ACGCTAATTGGCCTCTGCCTCAATCAATGTGTCAACGAGTCGCTCTGTGTTCCACTGAGCTTGATTAAGTAGTATTTTCCCAGAGTTGATAAACTGTGCCTCGTGGCGTCAACGCACACGCTTTGAGCTAGATTAAAGGACATTGTAAAGAAAATGAACTGGGCAAGTCTACCTGGCACATAGTCAAGACTGTTGCATGGCAACTGCTTCGTCAAGCCCGCCATCAAGGCCCCCCCCTTTTTTTCCCCCCCAAGTGCTGCTGAATAGCTGCTATAAGTGTGCAATCACAGTGACTCACTCACTTTGCCACGAATAGTCTTTCTTTAGTTCTGATGTCAGACATCGTCGTTGGCTACATTATTACAGAGAGGGTCGGTGAAGGTAAGATTGCGGGATATAGGGCCTCTTGCTACGACGTTTTAAGTAATTTACAGGACTGAGCTTCAGATAAAGAACTGTATTTGCCTTTAAAAGATAACGATTCTCACTTATGGTTGACATTATCAGATAGGGAAGTTTACTAAATCACATTGTCGATATTGCTTTTAAAAGACATGCCCCTCTTTGAACAAAAACAATAAATGTTTATTTTCATGCACTTGAATCAGTTTTCTTCAGTTTTTTAAAATTTGGTTTAATCACTTGCCATTGGTTTAAACGGTTACCAAATCAAAGGCATGCAATTAGCCTGTTATTTTAGTGTGATGCTGGAAGTCTCCAGATAATTGTTTATTTTGTAAACAAACGCGTGAAACATGAGGTTTTTAAAAATTATTATTCTATAATATATCAAAGTAGCCTACAATATGTATCTGTATTTATATTTATTTATATACTTTTTGTTCTACTTCTCCCTTTCATAATTTTGCTGTTGTAAATTGCGAATTTCTCTACTGTGAGACAAATAAAGGTTTTCTTATCTTATTCATGTATCTATCCGTCAGTCTAACTAGCTCACTAGCCTATCTATCTAGCTAGCTAGCCTAGTTAATCTAGCTAGCGTAATCTCTCGACTTCAAAAGCATTGTATATGGGTACGTATGTGACAAGAGACTCGTTTCCGCCATTTTTCATCAGGCCATTTTTGTGTGATCACGTCACACAGGTCTATTTTGGATTTTCAAGGTTAGTCGAATGTAATGATAAGCCTACAAAAAGGGCTTTACGTCTAGATGGGTGAATGGGCTTTCATTTATGCAGCACTTTTCTACCTGCAAGGTACTCTAAGCCCTTGAACACTGTCCTTATTCATCTACTGATGATACAGCATCAGAAGCAACTTGAGATTTGGTATTTTTCTCAAGGACAGTTCGAGATGGCAACAAGGCATTAGGATGAAAACTGTAACGCCAGTTACGCTTTTCAGGAACACGTTTTGGTGGAATCAGCTATGTTCAAAAGAACACAAATCCAGCACAACTGGAAATTGTAGTTGGGAGTCCAGCAGTGTGGAGTGAAAAGAATCCTCAGGCAGAGTCAGAGATGCGTGTCAAAAGTCCACGTTTAACTCGCCGGGGTCAGACATGACAAACACCGACAGCTTCATTTCTTGCTTCTTATCACACTGTTTCCAATGACTGATCTCCCTGATGGCAAAGCGGCCCCGGTGAAGATTAGCCGCTTCTGTTACAGCCGGGGTGGCTTGTTGGTTCAGAGCGGTGTCAAGACTTAAGGCATTATGCAGCTTATTGTACTTTACAAGTGACCTTATATAACCGTTAGCCACTGTCTTTATGAGAATACAATCAGAAGAGTTGTAATTAAGTGTTTAGTGTCATAAACCCCGCCACATGCTTCCGCTACACGTTTGTCACGGAATCCAGTGAAAAGTATGCTAGAAATGTTTTAATAAGACTGCAGGACTAAGACGGCGTCTAAAAATATACACAGTAAAAGCTCAAATTAAAGCATAGAAAGATCAAGGTTCCGGCTCACTCGCAATCTTGAGCAGGATAAGCGGGAGCGGATGAAAAGTTAGTGGAGGGCTTTTTAACGCATTACATGTACAAGTAGACATTTCTGAGCCAAGTAGTCACCGATACAAATATTTTTACTCTGAAAATGGAGATACAGTGAACTCTGGTTTATCGCGGGGACTTCCTGGACACGGCTTTAAATAAGCGGTCTTGCATTGTAGTTTAAATGTCAAAATTTGCATTTTGCGCCTCATCAAAACGTTGACTCGCAAAACTGCAAATAACTGATTTTTAAGTTTTTCAGATAATGGTGAAAATGGTCGCAAAAAGTTTCGCTGGGCTTCTAGCACGCGTGTTAAGGTGGCGTAACGCACATACTTAGGCATGAACATGTGACGGAGTATCTTTCAACAATTGAAATGTCTTGAAATGTGGCCTTACATGCTTTCACAGAATCTGGCAAGGGTGCTCGGTTTCTCTTGGTTGCGTCTTTGTCGGAACCAGCGCTGGATGGTTCGGACATCCCAGTCGAGCTGCTTGGACAATCCTTCCAGCCTCTTTTCATCTGGGTGCTGGTGACACAAAAGATGTTTGATGCTTTACATATAGTGCAGAGCTTTTTTTTAGGGCCAGTGCTGACAATAATGACATTGCACAAGGACCACCTTGGTAATAGCGGTGAAAACCTTCTCCAAGATCGCGTTGGGTTGGGCTTTTTGTGGCCCGTTGGCTTGTATCTTCAGGCCCACGCCACAAGGTCTTGCAATGAACCTGAAATAAAAAGCGGCATAATGGTAGCGTTAAATAGAGACAAAAAAGGATCAGATGAATCATCAACGAGAACTTTTATATCACCTGAGCTTTTCGGTATTTGGATTGTAAATGTCATCTCAAAGAGGAAGACAACGGGGAGAATAAGAGAACTTGAACCAAATCAGCTGTGTCAAGAAAAGCAGTTTTGTTTGCATGGCATGAATTGTCATTCAATTATAACGCATCGGGGATTCAGTGCAAGAAATGATGCCTTTGGGTCAGGATGCTTGGCACTGTTTACTGGCGAATGCGTCCATCCACTCCCATGATAAGTTAAATGCAGAAAACTAAAATATAATACGTTTAGGTATACTACAATCTGCTCAATATTCATTCTAAATATATTTTATCTGTGCCTGTCGATAAACAATATCACAAGAGTCACAGTCATTAATTCTCTATCCTCTTTAAAAATTACTAATATTGTGATGTGTAGTAGTAAATATAAACTCTTACACAATGCACTAGTTTAGCAGAAAATGTTTCTATCTGGTTGGTCGTGTAATGGACAAATTGCTACTTGGTTTTAAAACGTGTACTACAACAGAGCTGATACAGTACAAAATTGATCTGCCTGCTTTAGTCCTTTATTCAGCAGTTGTGTACTTTCTCTAATAACTAACAACAATGCTTTAGAGGCCTGACACTATTTGCATGGCCATCACTACTCTGTGCCACATTGCCGACTGCAAAACAATAACACGAGACGTGGTAGCGTGCACGCAGTCAAACGGGAGCCTGTGGTCAACATTGTGCATGACCGAGGGTGACATTTTAACAAGAGTAGACAGAAAGTTGATGATGGGACAACTACTTGGAGCTTCAATGCGGCGCGTTGTAATACTGCGGGCCTGCAGGAGGGATGAAGCACGCCGGTGCGAGGGGGTGGGGGCAGTGAAAAGCACTAGTCAAGGGTGCCATTGTTTAAAGTAGAAGCAGCAGCACCATCACTGCAGGAGCAAATAAATAAATAGAAAGCGCTCACCTTTCGAAGAGCAACCGTACCATGAAGATGCAGAAGGCCAAAGGGCACGCCAGATAAAGGTCCTCGGCTTGCGGGAACGTCGCCTCGTCTGTGTTCTTCAAGTCAGCCCATGTTACGTTGTGGGGGAGCCAGAAGCGCTCATTCCAGAACCACGCCAAGATACCGGCCATTTCTCCACGCCGACAGGAACTAGTGTTCCGAATTTTCGATGGACGTTGAAGAATGAAATCGAGTCCACGTTCAGCGGCTGCTGCGACTCACGATGGTGATGACGGGCTGGCTGGCTGATTGACTGGTGCTGAATTGCCGGCCGTCCGTGTCTGCCAAGCTCCTCCAGTGTGGGGAAGTGGACACAGTCGGCTCCTCGCGTGTGATTGGTGCGTTCGGATGTCACGCAACAAGCCAGGACACGGTCACTTGTTTTTGTCCGTCGACTAACCACATAATCAGTGAATGTGTACTGTTTATTACGCGCATTAACATCTTACAGGTCATGACTTTTATTTTTACATAGAGCGATGAACCGTTTTGTACTTTTACACGTCTTACTTATTCCGAATTTTAATATACTTGTGATATGAAGGAAATTATATTTGCCATGATTTTCAAGGCATCGTAAAGCTTGGTAAACCGTGACACCTATTGACAGAAGTGTGCATTACAACTGAATATTGAACAAACGCAAAAAAAAAGATCTTTTTAAAAACTGGGCATTTTGTTCGGACAAATACATAGGCTGTTATTATGCAAATATGTTGTACTTAATAAAAATAAATACGTGATTAAATGTACAATAGTTAAAATAGTGAAACATAACATAAGATACAAAGATACATTTATTGGCAGAGGTGGTAAAAGTACTCACAATCTGTGCTTAAATGGAAGTACCTGTATAGACACGTGGGTTTAAAAAAAGACTGGTAAAAGTAGAAGTATGTTAAATTCAAAATCACAGATTCTTGCGTCACAGTCAAGTTTCGAGAAACGCCATGTGTTCACAGTCTAAACTGAAGATGGCGCGAATGCATAAAAAGGTTATTTGTAAACCGTCCATAAATAATCCGAAGAATGTAGAAATGGAGCGAGGGAGTTGAACATCCAGCGTTGTCAGTGTCAAGTTTTTTTTTCCAGTTTCAAAAATACAAACAGCAACAGTATTCACAATTACTTATGTAGATACGCCCATATAGGACGATGAATGAGATTGTTACGACAGTGTTGAAGAAATGTACGTCAAGAAATGACGTTCAACAAGTACATCACAGGCCCGTCACAGACAGTTAATTAAAAGCACAGTTGTTTGGGGATTTAACGCGTGCAACCCAAGCGGTTAAATCGGACAGCAAAAAGACATGAATCATCAAATTGAGGTTTGTTGCTGAGTTTTGTTACTTATCGTTTAACTTGTAGTACAAACTGAATTAAGTTGAACGAAATTAAGATTGAACTGTGTCTGCTGGGGGATTCGATGTATTTTTGGTCAGACTCAAAAGAGGGAAAATGTTCACAGAAACTTTGTATCACCTTTATGGCAGTTCCCAGTATGACAGCTGAGAGTCGATTTAAAACACCAGTCAACCCAAACGATTACATTTATGTTCTTTTATTTATACACGTCAAACAGCAGAGGTAGCTAAAGTATGCACACCCTGTACTTAAGTACAGTAACAAAATATTTGTAGTCCATTACTTCCCACCGCCGCTAAACCAAGGAGTTGAGACAGTACTTCTACTTGAGTACAGTAACGAAGTAAATGCATTCCCACCACTGCTGGCGTTGAATCATTACTTCTCTGTTAGTCCAGGAATTAAGAAGTTGTACTTCATTTCTTGCCACCACTACCGAAGTAAAAAGTTAATTCTGTATTTATACTTAAGTACAGGAACAAACTACCTGTACTTTATTACTACCCACAAAGCGTTAAGTCAACATGTTTACACTAGTACAGGAAGTAATTAATTGTACTTTGTCATTTAGTATTTAAGTAGAGGGATTGACTCAGTATTTCATATCTTTTACAGTTGTGCCTAAGGACTTGAATCAACGTTTCTTTTTTTTTTAACACAAGTATCTGTGAGTTACTTTACGTACACAGTACCATCCCGCGCAAAAAAAAAAAAAAAAAAAAAAACAG